CTTTTTATGTACACTGAGAGCATTTGCACCAAGACAAATTCCTTGTGTGTCCAATCACACTTGGCCGATAAAGAATTCATTCATTCATTCATTCAATCTCAGAGGGATCTTACCGTTCTCTCCGCGACAATTCCCTCGGGCTCTCTAAATCAAGCTGAGTAACTTTTTTAGCGGTTTGTACCGCACGGTTGGGGTTCTCTATGTCGATCATGCCTTCCACTCCTTTGTGCTTTGGCTGGAATGAAAAGGCAACAACAAAAGAGAGCCGGTTGGAAGGGCTTTCCGGAAGGGAGTGGTGTGACGGCTGTGTGGGAATGGCCTTGGGGGGTGGAGGAAAGAGATGCCCACCAGGGAATGGTTGGATAAGAGTGGTCGTCCTTAGAGGCTGCATCGTGGGGAAAGAAAGGAAGAGTAGATAGGTGGATGGATGGAAGGGATGGAGGGAAGGAGAGGAAGAAAGAAGGGAAGTGGGAGGAAAGAATGAAGAAGGGGAGAAAGGAAGGGAAGGAGAGGAAGGAAGAAGGAGAGGAAGGGAAGGAGGGAAAGGAAGAAGAGGAAGGGAAGGAAGAGGAGGAAGAAGGGAAGGGGGAGGAGGGGAAAGGAAAGAAGGAAGGAAAGGAAGGGAGGGGGAGAAAGGGAAGGAGAGGGAAGGAAGAAGGAAGGGGAGGGGAGGAAGGAGGGAAGGGAAGGGAAGGGAAAGAGAAGAAGGGGAGGCAGACATAAACAATCCTCCCCAACTTGTTAGGCTGTAAGAAGAGACGTGGAGAATCTGTACTTGCAGGAGTCTGTTAACGTGGCCTTACAATAACGCCGGCTCAGCTCATCCGGTCTGTTTCAGTCTGGCCCACCTAGGAAGGCTGGCTTTAGGGGCAACGGGTAGCCAGACTCTGGAGTTTTGATGAGGGAACGCAAGGCAGCATAGTGTGTGTGTGTGCGTGTGCATGTGTGTGTAGAAGTGTCGACCAGCTGGATGAAAGCCAAGAGCATCTCATCACGCTTCCTGGTCCTAAACTGGGAAAGGTCTTCTTCTCCAACTCCGCCCCCCCCACCCCCTCTCTCTCTACCTGATAGTCCTCGCCCTCTTCTTCCTCGCTCTCATCCGAATCTAGCGACTTCTCCTTCTTCTTGGGTTCTCCGGAGGCCCCAGAGCCGCCTTCCTCTTGCTCCTCTTCCTCTTCCTGTGGAAAGGAGAAGCATCAGCAAACCAGAACCGCCGCGGGGAAGATCTTTTTTTGGGGTGGGGGGAGAATCAGAGCCGCTGGGAGCGATTTAGCTTCACTCAAGGGGTGCCTGGGTTTCCGCCCTTCCTCTCTGTGACCGCCTGGAGACGTGGGTGATGTTGGGAGGACGACAAGGGGAGGCCTCTGATTTTCAGCCTACGCCACCTTAGTATAAACAGACTTATGACCGTTCATCGGGGCACAGAATCCAGGCAGTTGGCAACCAACTCATCTTTATGACGGCTGCTGTCTCCCCAGGTGTCAACCCTGAGGTGAGGGTGGCCGAAGCCATCTTGGAGGCTTCAGGGTTGCCACACAGCTGACTGGGGGGGGGGGGGGGGGGGAGGCAGGGGGGGTTTTGTAGCCAAAACAATAGTTTTTTTTTTTCCCCTGTGGGAACCAAAGACATTCTCACAGGCAGCCACCAGAGGAGGAGCCGAGTAACCAAGCAACCAGCCAGCAACAGGATTGGACAGCGCAGCCAGTGATTTGCAGGAGGAAAGGGGAAACTTTTAATTGGGCAAAAGCTGCGGGAACTTTTAAGAGTCGGCTTTCCACCTGTTTGCGCCAATATGATGCATCCGATAAAACTCTGCTTTGAGGAATTTGCCGGCCTCAGAGTTCTGCTTTCTACGGGTGCGCTAGTTGGAATGCTGACCGCGGGGTTGTGAGATCTCCTTTTGCGACCGTCGGACAAGCAAAGTTGATTGGACAGCCGTGTTACTCATTCAACAGCCGCAGCGATTCACATCTCATTTAGCAACGTACATTTGGGGCTGGTCAGCAGCACTTAGGACGCTTGGCTCCTTACCCTGGCCTTCTGTTTCTCGGCCTGCAGCTGGGCATCGATCTCTTCCGGGCTTGTATACTGCCGCGCTCGGCCTTTATGGCCTCCTTTTTTACCTGCAAGTAAAAAGTGGGTTGAAAGATTACTTCCCCCCTCTTCTTCTTCTTCTACCTCCTCTAGGTTGTGTGGCATCCATTGGCAGGCAAGGCCTAGACTCCCATCAGTGGAATCAGTGAGTTTCCAGGATACGACGGTCTTCGCCCACATCAGCATGCACCCATCCCCACCCACACATACACCACGGGGGGCGGAGTGGAGTGGGAAGCTTAGGGAGAGGGCTGTAAGGCACTGTGAAGCGGTATGTACGTCTAAGTGTTACTGCTGATTAGCTGGGGTGGTGCAGCGGTTAGAATGCAGCACTGCAGGCAAACTCTGCCACACAGCAAGGAGTTCGATCCAAACGGGCCCAAGGTTGACTCAGCTTTCTATTCTTCCCAGGTCGGTAAAAAGAGGAACCGGATTGTTGGGGGCAAGAGGCTGACTCTGTAAACCGCTTAGAGAGAGTTGGAATGCACTGTGAAGCAGGATATAAGTTTGCTGTTGCTAAGGAAGGAAGGGAGGAAAGGAAGGAAGGAAGGAAGGAAGGAAGGAAGGAAGGAAGGAAGGAAG